ATATTATACATTTAAAAGCATTTTTGTGTCTTTTAAAAATTATCTATATCTTTAATTATTTGGTGATAAAAATTTTTAATTAATTAATTTTATTTATTTTATTGAGTATATACAATGTAAAAATTAAATAATGAGTTTTAATATAAAAAATTAATTTATATTTTAAAATTAGAAAATTAACTTTAAATTAGAATCAACCGTAAAATCTGTTAGTGAGTGAGACACTTTTAGTGAGAAGAGAAAAAGAGAATAAGAAAATAAAGATTAATATTATTGAATAAATAAAATTTAATTGATGTTCTTGTTAAAAGTATATCAGCAACAAAACAAAGTTCCACAAATATGAGATTTTCTTGAAGCTACTCTCTGATAAAGTGACAAGCCACCTCAATGTGTTTTATTCTTTCATGAAGACCGAATTTGATGTAATATGAATGGCAGCTTGGTTATCACACCAAAATTTTCATAGGATAATTATTCTCAAATCTCATCTCATCCAAGATTTATCTTACCCATATCTGTTCATAAGTAGCTTGAGCCATAACATTGTATTCTACTTTTTCCCTTAATCTTGATACTACATTTTGTTTCTTACTTTTCTAAGATATCAAATAACCTTCGAAAAATACACAATATAATATGGTAGACTTCCGATCCACTGGTCATCGTGCCTAATATGAATCAGAAAAAGCTTTCACATGCATATGTCCATTATCTTGGTACACAATTCCATTTCCTAGAGCTTTCTTCTAATATTTAACAATGTAGATTAGTGTTTCGCAATGAGTATTAGTGGAAGAATACAAAAACTGACTTACAACACTTACATGAAAATCAGTATCAGGTCTCGTAACAGTTAAGTAATTCAAATTTTCCCACCAATCTTCCATAAGAGTCTCACATAGTTTGGATCCCATCATACCATTTCACTAAATAGATCCATAAAACATTTCCTTTGTGAAAGGAAAATCCACATCTTTAAATAGATAACTCCAATCCCCGAGAAGTACTTCAAGACTCCCAAATCATTGGTCGGAAACTTGGTTTTGAGGAAAACCTTCAATTTGTCAATTTCTTTTCTATCACTTCCTGTAATTACAATATCATCAACATACACCACAAGTGAGACATTACCACAATTGCTTTTATTAAAAAATATTGTATGATCATCTGACATCGTTTCATTCCAAATTCTAAAACCACTTCACTGAATCTCTCAAACTAAGACCTATGTTATTGTTTCAAGCCATACAATGATTTCTTTAGGTGACACACATATGCATGATCCCCCTAGCAACAAAACCAGGTGGTTTCTATATATACACCTCCATTTGTAAATCACCATGCAAGAAGGTTTTCTTCACATATAATTGAAACAAGGACCAATGATGCTTGACAGCAAGAGATAAAATAATACGAATAACCTTATAATTTAAGTTTTATTCTTTGATGAACAATCTCATTTATTTGATAATAATCACTATTTTCTTAGTTCTCGTTTATCTAGTAATGTTCACTAAGTCATAACAACTTGGGGTGGAATACTGAGAAAGATTAGACAACCTTCTGGGATACCGCTTGTCATAGCATTTGGACGTGGCATAATAAGGAGACGTGTGATGGAAATTTCAATAGACCGTCGTGCATTATAAGTCACATCAACAAATTGGCCCATGACTATGAGCTTATGAAAACTACAGCAAACATCAGCTTGAAGTCTCATAGAATTTTGAGTCCCATAAGGTGGGAAGCACCCCAAGTGGGTTGGGTTAAATTAAACACTGATTAAGCTAGATATGAGGATGGTAAATCGAGTTGTGGTGGTATCATTAGAGTGAGTGATGGAAACTGGCTTCGAGTCTTCAAACATATTGGTATAAGCAGTGTTTACATAGCTAAACTTTGGGGTGTCTTGGAAGATTTAAAGCTAGCTGTGACAATGAATTTTCGAAAAATTATTATAGAAGTGGATTCTCAACAAGTGGTTAATGATATTAATTCTAACAATCAAAGCAATAGTATGGTAAGAAATTTGATCACTAAAATCAGAGCTTTATTACATCAAGATATTGACGTTAGGATTCGACATATCTACCGGAAAGCCAACATGTGTGCTAATGTTTTAGTTAAACATGAAAGATTGCAACCGACTTCTATGTGCATCTTTGAGGAGAGCCCTTCTTTCCTTAACCAGATTCTTGCTAGTGATTTGTGTAAAAATGTTATTTCCCAATTAATTTTGTTGTAATTTTCTTTTTTGAACTTAGGACCTCTCTTCTATAAGAAAAATAATAATACTCACTAAATCCTTAATTGAACTAAGATTTCATATGTATGAATGAACACATTTATATTAATCACACCTTGAAGAATTTATATTTGTATAACAATCATCTAACATTAACACCAATTTTAGATCCAATTCAAATTACCTATTTTTCAAATAGTGAAATGTATATAAATTCAATTCATAAATAAATAAAAGTCTTACCGTCCTTTTTCCTATATTGATTTTGAAGTTTATTTTAGTCTTTTAACTTAAAAAAAATATTCATATTAATTTTTTAACTTTTCAAAACGTATTAGGTTAATCTTTTTCGTTTAATTAACAATAGAAAAATTTAAAAATTAATTATTTAATTCGTTGTTAATTAGACGAAAAGCACTAACATTATATATTTTAAAAAATTAAAAGACTAATCTAAATATTTTTTAAATTAAAGAAACCTGAGGTCAAACTACATAATCAAAAAGGTATTAAAGAATAATATTAAACTCAAGAATTATCAAATAAACATAAAAATTATATTTGCATAAATAAAACCAAGAGTTATACTGTATTTCTTAAGTAGATTTAAACATGTTCATTTACATCCATCTAAGAAAATTTAAGTACTCATAATAAACACAAATATAACAAGAGTTTTGGGAATTATTAAAAAAAAAAAAGATGAATTTGAATCCTCTAATCTTGTTTCTAAGAATTGAATTCATTATTTCCTTTCTCCGATAGATCCTTCCACCTATCAATTTGATTAGCTAATACCAAAAGATAGAACACACTCTAAGATTGTCTCATTAAAGACTTAAAAGTACAATGTTTAACTTTTCAAAACATTTGTAAACATCTCAACTAGGACTCGCAATGAATCGAACTAACTCAAAAATAGTTTGGAATTCAATTCGAAAATTAAATCGTTGAAATAGGTTCATGAACCAAATGAGTTGAGTATGAGCGAAAAATTAAGTTCGTTAACTAAATGAGCTGAACTTGAACTATACATAGTTCGACTCGTTAGGTTCATGAGTCAACTCGGTTACCTATGAGAAGAATTATATTGTCTTTAAGATTAGGTTTAAATATTTACTCCAAATCTTAGACAAATTTAATCTTCAGTTTAATAGTTTTTGACTTAGACTCTCAAATGTATCTTTTGAAAGTTGGGTAGGTTTTGAATTAGTAGATTTCAAAGATAAAGTTAAATTTCAATATGATAACTTTTATTTTATTTTAATATTTTATTTTAAAAAAATATTTATTTAAAATGTCAAATATACTATATATATATATATATATATATATATATATATATATATATATATATATATATATATATATATATATATATATATATATATATATATATATATATATATATATATATATATATATATATATATATATATATATATATATATATATATATATATATATATATATATATATATATATATTTAAAAAATATAGTTTTTAAGTTCGTGAACCTAATGAGATGAACCTAACGAGTTGAACCAAACTGTTCGTGAACTTATAACGAGTCGAGTTTGAGCTTAAAAAAAATTCGTGTCGAACTCGAACCAATTCTTAATAAGTCGAACCGAGTTGAGGTGAGTTCGACTCGACTCGACTCATTTACAACCCTAATTCCAACTCATGCAATATCTTACTCATGCTCATAATCACTCAAAATCAACTTTCTTATAAAAAACTTTAAAAGATATTAAATATTTATTGACTACAAGTCATGAATTTCTACAACTTATTTTTACTTCAAATTTATTTTTCAACTCATTTTAAAATAAACGCATCCACACAAAAATATTATTAAAATTAATTTTACATAAACAATTCATTCAAAATTAGTTTATGTCACCGCGAATCAAACACACTTTAAATGTTTCATCTATTATCTCTGAGCTCTATTGTAAGGAATAAGTTCTTAATCTTTACAGAAAAAGCATCATCTAGATTCATTGGTGGTCAATTTGGCTCATGGCTGCAAAACATTTATATTCTCCACCCAAACCAACCCTCACCTTTTCTTTTATATCTCTATCTTTCTTTTCCCTTTTAGACCAATCCAAATCTTGACTTTAGAGTATACATAGATACATTACATTACTATCACAAATCACACATAAGGGAACATTGCATGTCTTGCTCCTAGTATGTCTACATTATCTGTATATTGAATATGAGACCAATTTTGGTAAATATTGACATGATGCCTCATCTACACCTACACGCCAAGTGACAAGTAAGTGGTAGAGAGAATCTCCATGACTAAGAAAGAGTGATATGAAAAACTATAAAAACTTTTTTTAAATATTATTTGACTTACAAGAATTGAATATTGACCCAACCCACAAAATACAGTTGTGTAATTAAACATATGAGTGGAGAAAAAAATAATTATTATTCATCATATGCTAAATGACCAAAAGAATTGGTCAAAAATTATAAAAAAAGAAATACATGAAAAATAATCATGGGTTAGATCTTGTTGTAATCTTTGTCCTATAATTCTAAACTAAGGTATAAACTAAACAATATTATTGAATAAAAAAATACATAAAATGTTTCTGATATAGTATATGTATGAATTGACTATGAAACACTGTAATTCTATCAAATTGACTGTCAATTTGAACATTGACCGTAAAATATTGTAATTCTATCAAATTCACTGTCAAATTCCCTGACAACTTAAACGATACTCTTAATTTGCTGAAGTAACATGTACTCTTGGACTTGGAACTCCCATATGCACAAGTCTAGGAGACAAGTGAATCTTTGGACTAGGTCTTGGTGAAGGAATAGGAATCATATTAGTGACTTTTCCATTGTTGACTCTAGGTGATAGATTGAGCTGTTCAAGTGCCCTAGCTTGGAGTTTTGTAGGATACTCTCTAACACAACCAATCCTAGGACCAGCTCCTGTGGTCCATTTGCTTGACAAAGGTTTGCACTCTTTATGTTGTGAAGTTGTCACATTATTTTGGCTACACTTTATGGCAGAGTCACTTGATGTTACATTGGTCTTGGTGGACTCAAATTGAACCTCATTGTCAACATGTTCTGAAGGTGGAACATCATCATCAATTGAATACTTCTGTATTAGGAAAAAAAAATTGAATTATTACATAATTTTTCAACATGTTGATGCTTAGTGATTTCAAATCAAAGACAAATATAGCCTAATTTATGAAGAGAAATTTGTTATTAATTTACCTTTACATTTGTCAAATCCACATTGTGTTCCATCAAGAAGCCAATGAATTCCAAGAAATTCTTCTTTGTAGGACGATAGTGACCACTATAGGGCCATATAGCCTGGAAAAAAAATTAATCAACATCAATTTGCATAAAAAGAAAGTTAACTTCTTTTTAACTTTTTCCCCAAATTCATCTTTTTGTGATTAAAAATTCATGTGATTTATCTTTTATGTAGACTTGCAACCCTTTGTCGCGCATTAAATGGTGAAACTGCTGCAAAGTTATTGAATCTAGATTCAATAGCTCTGCAACAAGTTCCCAAATGTCAGTTCAGTTGATAATTGTGTAGAGACATCAGAAATAAATGAGTTAAAAAACATGAATGATATCTTACATGAAGAATGCCATTTTGGACAACCAATCTTCCGGATGCAACAGTAGCGCCACCAGCTAGAAAACTTGAGTGTTGAAATTGTCCTTTTTTCTTCTCTCCAACATACAAAATTCTAGATGAACTAAGAACAAATATCCACTTAGATCCTTCACAAGTGTTTACAAAATTCTTGCTTTTTCTATAAACAAACTTTCCTTCCTCTATAATCACTTCATAAACCTCCCTTTCTTTCTGCACAAACAACCAAAAAAATAAGTTAAACCACTTATAATAGAGAATATTTTAGTGGCTGCTCAAATATTATATATACATAAAGTATGGTTTAATGCATTGAACACACTAACACTAATTTAATTTAATTTAATATACTTGTCAATTAAGTCCTAAGATGCACCACTTGCACTCTATAATTGACCAAATTACATAGTACATGAAAGTGAAAGAACTTACAGGTCCAAGGTATTTTATACACTGCTTCTGTAAATCAATTCTTGGACATTCGTCACGATTTACTTCTTTTCCGTCTCCAACATCCAACCTTTATGTCACAAAATTAAATTACAAAATCAGTGATCAAAGTTGTGTTAAATTTTGTTAATACATGTTTAGTATTACAATTAGAATGTTTAAAATTTTTTACCAGTAGAAAAAAGGTTGAGTGCTCTGGCTATGAAACCAAACATTATAGTATAAGTGCAAGTTGTGTCCGTATCGATGTCGAGGATCAATCTGCGAATCGAAAGAAAATCTTAGCTTTGTTTTGATTAAGTTAGATTCAAAATCTTAATTAAGTCAATAATTAGAGATATGAACTTACAGCTTCAAGCCAATGTCTAAGTGCTAATTTTTGTGCTTTATCATCTTTACACAATCCCTTTCCCACCTACCAACAACCAATAAACAAAAAAAGTTAATTGATGACAAATTCTTAAAAGATTGTGTCGGAAAGTGAATGAAAACTTTGAATTCTTCTCTATTGGTCCAGTCAAATATATAATTGAAAAATCCTAATCAATTATAATTCACACAAATAATAGCAACAAATTATAACACAGACACTCAATATATTGAGTGTCTGACATAACATAGATAGACCAGACAGAGACACGTGTTATTGTGTTATTGTGTCTGTGTCAGTGTCGTGTCATTGTTGTCAATTATCCAAAAGATTATTCAAATATTATAGCTTTTGATATTAAAAGGTACCTTAGCAGCCATAGTTCTAGCTCTAGCCCATTTTGAAAGAGCAGTTTCTGATTTAACTGAATCAAAATGTGATATAGAACATCTACTAAGTGCAGCAAAATCCAAAGCCTTCCACCTAAAAAATTAAAAAAAAAAATCAAAAAAAATATTTAACCAAAATAGTAAATTAGAATACAAAAATTGAAACTAAACAAACCATAGCTCTTCACAAACAACTGCACAATCTGCTAAATTTCTTCTAGTCCTATAACTCTTATAAACCTTCTGCAACTTTATTGCAGCAACATCAAGCTCTCCAATGGATTTCGGCGAAAACCAAATTTCTGGTTTATCCACCAAAATCGAAGGGCTTTGTTTATTGAAAACATCGTCGATAAAATCGTCTTTCAATCCAGAATTTTCTGTAACCAAATACTTGAATGAGAATGTAGTTTGCAACTTGAGATTTCCAACTTTTCTTCTCTTGGAACACGATGATTCTTCTTCAGCAATAACCTCATCTAAATTTCTCTCATTCTTGAAACTCATTGTTCTTGAAGTAACGTCTCCTGTTACTGTCATCATTTGTAACTGATTATATAATTGTTGGAAAATGAACACTCTTTTATAAGGCACGAGTTTGGTATATATGAAAAGGTGAAAAATATTTTGAAATAGGTTAGAGAAAGTGATTGAAGAAAAATGGTGGTGATGGTTTGAAATATTTATTAAGGAATTAAATAAAGGAATTTTGTGTCTAGTCCCTAAAATGGGTTGTTTTGAATGAAGAAATTAAAAAAAAAAAAATGGTGTGACTTGAAGAAGGTGTTACATGAGTATGTGTGTGTATATGAAAAGTGTTGTACGCGGTGATGTGAATGAATTGAATGAAACAGAAGCAGAATGAGTCAAAACCTTAAAAGGGGTACTTAAATCTATATAATTTTTTTTATCAGTTTTAAATACTAACTTTTAATTTTTTAATATTTTAAAAAATGTTTTTCAAATTTTTTTACCTCTAAATTTTCTGTTTTTGTTTATTGTGTGTTTTAAATAAATTTTTGTTTTGATATTTTATTGATAGAATTTTTAAAGGGTCTTGCTAATTTGTGTGCTTCAGGTTAAGGAATTGAAAAAACAATGTTATTATTAATTAATATAATAAATTGGTATTTTAAAAGTCAAAGACATGACTTTTAATATTTTTTTTATCTCATTAGTTCAGTTGGTAGTTGTGCAGAGACATTAAATGTAGGGACGCGAGTTCAGATATGCGACATCTCATTTATTCACTTTTAAATGTTGAATTCTGGTTAATAGACTCATTGACCAAAATAAAATATATTTTTTTGTAAAATTGTGAGAATTAAAATTGATTACACGAAATTTATAGGAGCATATTCGGTTAAAACAACTGCTTAGTGGTCTAGGAGTGCAGGTTTGAATTTGTGATGTCTGCTCAAAATCGAATTAGTTTGATAGAAAATTAAAAATAGAACCGATTCAAATCGTAAGCTGCAAAAAATTGCATTTGATTCAGATGTGTTTGGATTATTTTTTTAATAAAACCGCGCGGTTCGATTTGGTTTGTGGTTTGTATGTTGCAAACCGAATCAAACGGCATTATATTACAACACATACTTCATTTAACTCACATCCAACTCAAACTCAAATCTATTATACCTTAATCTTGCGATTACAAACCATTTTCTCTTCTTCACATTTGGGGTTTCTGTTTCAGCTTTTTCAAATCTCTCTTAACAATATCACGTCTTCTTCGTTAGGTACATCTCGTCTCTTCTTCACTAATCTTTACTCTATTATATTCTTTCTTTTTTATCTTTTCATTTTTATAATATCGTTCTCTCTTTCAATTTTCTTTTTATCGCATCTCTTCTTTTCTAATCTTTCATTCCTTTTGTTCTTTCTTTTTCATCTTCATTAATTTTTCATTTTCCCTATTTTTTCATATATTGTTTTATGTTATTGTTTTAGGTGTATTATTTCACTTTTATCTAATTTGATTTTTATATATCAAATGAGAAGTTGTTGTCCAATATGATGAGTTTTGTTTTTATTTGATAATATATGAATGATTAAATACAAAATTATATTATTCGTTATATGTGTATGACTCAATAAAAAATTATAAAAAATTGATTCTATAATATATTATATATTTTATATCTATATAATATATTTTTATCACTTTAATTATACAAACTTTTAATTTTTAATATCTTTAAAAAAAAATTTACCTCTCTAAATTTGCTGTTTTTGTTTATTGTCTGTCTTAAATGTATTTTATTTTTATATCTATATATTTTTTTATCACTTTAAATTTACTAACTTTTAATTTTTAATATCTTAAAAAAAAAAATTTCCAAATTTTTTTACCTCTAAGTTTGCTGTTTGCGTTTATTGTATGTTTTAAATAAATTTTTGTTTTGACATTTTATTGAAAAAAATTTAAAGGATATTGCTGATTTGTGTTCCTTAGGTAAGGAATTGCAAAAACCATTTTATCATTATTTGATATAATAAATCGGTTTCAAAAAGTCAAACACATGATTTTTAAAACATATTTTTGTAATTTGTCAGATCAGTTATAATTATATAGAGAAATCAAATGCAGAAATACGAGTTTGAGTTTACTATATTTTATTTATTTATATTTAAACTGCAATCTAATTAATAAATTATTTGATTAAAATAAAATATATTTTTATAAATATGTAAAAGTTAAAATTGATTATACAAAATATATAAAAAATATATTTCACCGGTTGCTAATTGTTTAGACATGTCACACCGTAGGAGTGCGGGTTTGAATTGATCCCACATATTACTTTTAAGAAGTAGAATTTCATCCATTAAATTACTAGATAAAAAATAATTATAGGAAACAAAGTTTGAAAGGAATTTATAGAGTTTAAAACTGAAAATTAAAATATTTTAAAAAAATTATATTTAATTTTATAATTTATATAGGAGTAATAAAAAAAGTTAAACGCAACATGTAAAAACTTTTTACTATAAATGTGTATTATTTAATTCAAAATTTATTATTTATTATTTATTTAAACATGAACCTTTTTTCTTTTTTATAAAAAGTTTGTGCTGAGAGGTATGGTCAAATATTATTTTCACTAACAATTAAACTCAATATTTTTTAAACTTTCGTTTTTTAAAAGATGGTCGTTTACCACTCGAATTCATATACTTGTTTTTAAAGACGAACTTTCAAAGTTATGTATTTCTTAACATGCCTTTAAAGTACGTTAGTATGACCCAATTTGAATTAATTTATTTGAATTCATATGTTAAAATAGGTTATGTGTAATAAAATCTTTTCAACCTATTTTCATTGAATGATGTTGTATTTGACCAGTCTCTAGCGCATGGACTCTACTGACATTACATTTCCCGTGGGATCTCAACCCTCCAAATCATAAAGATTAATCAAACTAGAATTACATTGCATTTGTAACAATTTCATAGCATTTTGAATTAATAAAACTTTTGATATCAACATAATCTTAAATTTAATTATATTAAACCATAATCTTTTCTTTCAGAGTTGTACATAATCTTAAATTTAATTACATTAATCCTATCTTTTTCCTTCTCCTTTTCCTGATATCAATTCTAAAAGCTTTCATCTCTTTTCTTCTGCAGCGAAGCAAGCCTCCTCGCTTCATCAAGTTGTTTATACAAAAATTGGTTAAGAATTACCATGACATAAAAGTAATAACCACTCAAATTTTTATTTTTTTTGCAATTCTAACAATTGTCAATTAAATCTAAGTACGGATGTCCAATATCCAGAATTAGGCTAGTTGAGATCTAACAATTCTAACAATTCTCATTGCATCTGCATTTGGATTCCAACTGTTGAAATTTTCAACTAATGTTGTTGACTGAATAAGCAATCAATAATATCCATAATGATTGCAGAGGAAACAAATTCAGTTTACAAACACGATATTTAATAAGACAAACATGTATTATACAACTCCACCATAACAAATTTTGTTGCAAATCTATTTTAGGAAGCCATACCTTGCATTTCAAGAGATTCATTTCACAACTCAAAGGAATTCCCAATTAGTGTTTATCTGATAAAACAAATTTTCAAAAAGAAATCCTAACCATGATCAACAATAACACAGAGTGTATACCTCAATGGAAATTTCAACAGAAGGAGAAAGAAGAAGAGTTGATTCATAGTGAGTTTACCTGCAAAACCTTGAGTTCATCAGAGTCGTTGTCGGTTCGCCAAAATCTGAAATTTCTATCTGGTACCCCCCCCCCCCCCCTTTCCTTCGTGTTTTTTTGTAGCTATATGTATCGTGATCTCTCTTGTCTCTAAATGTTTCACACCAAATTTCACTTCAATGTAAGATTTTTGGATCTTTATCTGAATACTGATTTCGGGTTAAAGAAATTATATTTGTTGCTATAGAAATCAAATGGACTGAGTTAGACTTCGATTTAGAGTTTTTATGGTCTGTTGGCGTTGTTGCTTCTGTTGTGCGCTTGTTCCATTTTTTTCGCCACACATTTTTTGTTTGGAGGTGTTGATTATGTTCGATTTTGATGTTCGGTTTGGTTTTGGGGTGGCATTTAGTTTTTGGTTTAAGCAAGAAAGTTTGATGTTGAAAATAGGAGTTGTTTTGATTTGAGTGTGTTAGAGCCTTGTTGTTAGCCATCGTTGAACTTGGTTAAGGATGAAGGCGAAGATACGACCAAGTGAGGATATGAAAGTAACGGCTGTGTGTTTCTATCTTTTAGGGTTTTTTATTTTTCCTTTTGATTATGTAACTGTACCGGGTTACACTGTTTGATATGTTTAATAAAAAATGATAATAAATTAAAAATAAACAAAACAAAAAGCCAAGTAAAATAATATACTGCTAAGTAGACTGTCACATATGCACAATTTAACGGAATGTATCAATTTGACTAACAAAGTTGTTTTAAGGGATCATAATGTAACATTTTTTAACTAAAGAATCAAAGCGAAACAATAAATTAAGTTAAGGGACCAAAAAAATGAATTAAGTCTTTTTATTTCTATTTTGCCCTCTCTGTTACTTAACAATTTTTTTTCATAGATCAAAATTTCTTATTCCAAAACTGATTTATTTTCTACACATCTTTCTCTCTCTTCATTTCATTTTAAGATTAAGAGTATGTTTCAGTTGTAAAATAAAAAGTATTTGACAGAACAATATTAGACAATATAGAACAGTACAAGATAACTTTATTTTGTATTCTGCTTGATGGTCGATGCACTGAACAACTTTTTATCTATTTTTTTGATATATTTATGCACTAAATAATATAATTTTTACAATAATATTTTTATTGATATATACAATATTGATATTCGTGAGTCAAAATATTAAATAGTGAGAAGGAGAAGAGAAATGATGAAGTGAAAAATAATTTTACTCCACATTATTTGATATGTCTATGAATCAGACAAAAATAATATAATTTTATTAATAAATAAAATACTAATATTAAATTATAAATCAAAATATTAAATAGAGAGAACGATAAAAAATTGTATTTTGAAT